TTTTATTAGCCGTTGTTGTGATTTGACATCAGTGGCAGAATAATAAATGTAGTACATATATATGTATGTAGTAGCTTTGAAAATAAACAGAAAAACAAATGGCCGTTATTGAATGCCAGTATCTAGCCACCAGCTCCTATCTTCTAATATTATTCATAATTGGAGCAAGAAAACTATGACAATAATATAAACGTGAAAAATTACCAGGGACGAACAGCGGATGTTTTGACATCTCGTTACACATCATTCTACTTTTGATTGGTATTTATTGTTATAAATACTTAGTCTCATTTCCGGCTATAAATACAGAAGTACACACTACAAATATTACATATGTATGTTCTCATTGCCAATATCATAAATTCCACAGAAATTGAATAACATAATTCAAGTATTGTTGAAAAACCGAGAAAATAATTTGATTTTTCTGGGGTCAGTATGAGCTTAGTAGGGAGTGAGTAGTATTTTCAAGTATAAGTTTTGTCAGATAATAAACGAAGGCATAAGATTTTTATCCCTGAAAAGAGTATATTAAGTTTGCACACGAAGTTTGTAACACCCAGAAGAAACGCGAAGATCCTATAAAATATATACATAATGATCAGCATGATGAGCTGATGCCCGTCTGTCTGACCGTCTGTCCGTCTGTCTGTATGTATACAAACTAGTCCCTCAGTTTTTAAGCTATCGATCTAAAATTGCACCTGTCCTTTTCTTAGAAAAGCTGCTCATTTGTCGGAACGGCCGATATCGGACCATTATAGCATATAGCTGCCATACAAACTGAACAATCGGAATCAAGAGTTTGTATGAAAACTCTTTAATTTGACGAGGTATCTTCACGAAACTTGCATGAATTATTATTTAAGCAGTAATCTAATCGCCAAAGAAATTATATAGATCGGATGACTATGCATATAGCAGCCATATTAACTGAACGATCGAGTAAAGTGCTTGCATGGAAGATTTGTTTATTTAACGAGTAGCTTCACGAAATTAGGCACGAGTTATCGCTTAAGGCAACAAATTATTCTCCGCTGAAATTGGTCAGATCAGATCACTATATCAAATAGCTACCATACAAATGGAACGTTCGAAATAAAGTAAGGGGCCTTTGTATTTGTGAAGGTATTATAGCTTCGGTGCAACCAAGTTAACGTTTTTCTTGTTTAAAATAGTTTCGATTTTAGGTGTCATTTCTTTCACAAAAATGTTTGTTTTTGGGAATCAACATTTGATGAAAGTCAAAATTTCGACAAGTCCTTCGATTATTATCTGCATTCATCTTAATAAAATGAAACTTTTGGTTTGTGGACTTAGATAATTTTAAGCAGAAGAATGTTCCTACAGCTAAACACCTTTTACGAAGGTCCTCCTGGACATCGGCAACGAAACAGGAAATTCGAAAATTTTCAAAATTATTCACCTTTTTAAGTACGTTGAATTCCGGAAATGTACATGCACAAAAACTGACTTTCAACTGAATATATATCAAGGGTTAGGTCAATTACATAGGTTCTCAAACAGATCGTTAAAAATAGTTTGGTTAAAACTACACTTTAGCTTCCTAAAACATTTTCAATTGTTTCGTTCAATTGGTTAATTTTTTCGGTAAAATATTGAATATTTTTACAAGTCCAACTTTTGCGAACAATTAATATATGCTTCAAAAATACAAACATATGTACATACTTTACAACAAGTCCTATTCAGGTCAAGACCACGTTTCTTATTTGATTTCAGATTGCACGAGTTTCTAAACTCAAAGGCGACCGTAGATACCCTCTTAAAAGGTGTTTACGAATTTGGCTCAGTAGCCGAATTTTTCTAATCAAAATGGTTATCAAATTTTTATATGCCAAATAGATGTGGAATAAAGCCTGAAAGGAGAAATCGATTCCTTCTCTTCACTCGCAAAATAAATTTCAAAATTGGCTTTTTGAACGCTTAAATCTGCCTGTGCCAAAATTGCTGGATTTCAAAACGTTGTACTTTATGCGGCGGTAATTCAGATAATATACACACATATAAGTACATATACTTCATACACTTGTATGTAGTTACGCCCTTTCATAGGGACTAAAAAAAAGTATTTTTATTCGGAATTATGTCCGTCTTATTGACAGTCAAAATACAACTAACATTTTTAATTACTGATTTTATATACTACTTACAACAAAGTTTATTAATAAATTTAAAAAGTAATAGGAACTCGGTTTCGTTTACAGGTTTATTAAATGTAGCAGACGCTGATTTTACAAAAGTGTTATGAAGGTGCAATTTCCTGTTTATAAGTTATTTTATTATTTGAGTTGATTGACGTAGCGATTTTTGAATGTTATATTTATATGTTATATCAAAAATCGGCCCAAATTCAGTCAGATTTATTTGGTCAGAAATTAACATAAGGGCGTTTAACTCTTCCTCTTAGTCGATTGTCCTCAATCAGCACAAATTTTACAAAATATAGTGACTTGCAAATATGGAGTTTTAGGTACGTCTGCTATGTGTTCTGTAGTTACGTAAACTTTCTTTTTTATTCTATTGTAAAATTAGAGAGCTAAAATGAAATTGTGATAATTATTATATTAGTACTTTATGCTAATTACATGTTTCTTTTATTATCTCTTACTAATAATTGAATATCGCCTCTTATGTTTCTAGTGCTACATATAAAGTCTCAAGTTTCAAATTTAGATTTGTTTCATTATTATCTTTGATATTAGTTATTAAATTTGGTAGAACAAATGTGTCATAAGTTTTAAGATTAGATTGTTGTAGGTTATGTTAGATATCGAAATTTTACAATTTTCAAATTTATTATAAATGTGCCCTTTGCATGAATTTAAGTTTGTTACATCATGGGATACATTTCCATTAAAGTGTTTCAATATTAGTATTCCTGGTCTAATTTCTACAACTGATGTTTTTCGTTAAATATTTTAGTTTACATTGGGCTTCCTTGAACCTCTAAAATATTATCAGACATATCGTTTTCTTTATCAAATTCTTCTAAATTATTTTTAACATTTAAATGTTGATATAGTTATTAATATTTACAAGAACTTCGTATTCGCTTAGAAACAATGGACTTGTTTAAGGGATTGGGAGGGGCTCTGAATCTTATCTTGGATAGGATGTTGGTTGAAAATTGGATAAGTAAGGTGAGTATAATGGTATCTTCCTGAAAGATGACGGCTACCTTAATGTTCCGTAACTGTTCGAGTCTTTGATTAGGTCCAGTTCTGTTTTGGGTTATTATGTCGGTGGGAACTATGCCTAACTTACTAGAAAAATTATTTGTTCTATGTCGTCTATGTGATTTCTTAAGAGTGTTATGTCATTGTTAAACCTATATGTATGTTCGATGAATTGAATTTCGTCTCTATTGTTTGTATTCTGTTCAGTGTAGAATATTTAAACGTACGTATGTAGTCGTTATAAAGAGCTTGTTGGTTGTTTATTGGGTTGTAATGTTGTCTATCTGTTGTGTTAAGAACTGTTAAAGCATGTTAATTTGAGTTATTGTCAGTGATTTGTTTGTCATTGTGTGTACCTGATCTTATGCGTTTTTAATTTCTTGTTCATCATCACTGTCCATGGAACCTGCTATGAATTTTTAGCCCTTACCTAGTACGTTAACTAGTCCTCGCTTGGTTTTTGGGTGTGGTCGTAGCTTATCTATTTTTGCATTTAGTAAAATAAAATTTTCGTTAATGGATTCTAAACCTGCGTGTCTTCGAAGAAGTTGTTTTTCAAAATTTTTATGTTGTCCAGTATACGTAACATCTGTTCTCATATGGTAGTCAGGTTAATGAAATGTAGTACCTTGTCATAATGGTTAATTGTCTCAGTTTCCTGTCTTGATTTATATACCCGTTTGTTGTTCGTCAAGTCCTGCACACTCATCTGTTGGTTTTTGACACCAAGAATGAATGTCCAGAAGAAGATGATCGTAGTAGCTTTTCCTGTTGGAGTGAGGGTAACTTGTTTAGTATTGTCTAATATTTTCTTTGAATATCCTGCCTGACTTTTTTAATGGTTGTGTTAAAGTTCTCCGCTACATCTCCTTCTTATACCTAGCTGATAACTTATTTCTAATCTTGATTTACCTTACAAATTATGATATCGTCCTTGAAAGTTTTTCGGTGGTTGTCTATCTTTGTTATGATAACAAAGTTCCTGTTGTTGTTTATTAAGTAATTTCTCCTTGATTTCCTGCCTATCTTCTCTAGAAGGTCAGGTCGTACTAATTTCTCCTCCCAAAAATATTTCGGATTCTTTTACGCACGCATATCCTTACTTTTTACTTTTCAGGATTCTCACTACCGTATATTTCGGATTTTAATGCACGGGTTTGCCCAAGCGTCTTGCTCTTTTATTTTCAGGACTTCACGTACTTGGCATCGGGCGCCAGTTACGTCCCTTTAAGTCATAGGACTAAAAAAGATATTTTTATTCGGACAGTATGTCCGTCTTATTGAGTCAAAATACAACTAACATTTTTAATTTACTGATTTTTATACTACTTACAACTAAAGCATTATTAATAAATTTAGCAAAAGTAACAGGAACTCGTTCCTGTTTACAGGTTTATTAAATGTAGCAGACGCTGATTTTTACAAAAGTAAGTTTATGAAGGTGCATTCCGTTTACAAGTTATTTATTATTTGCAGTGACTGACGTAGCGATTTTTATAGTTATATATATGTTATATCAAAAATCGGCCCAAAGTCAAGTCAGCATTATTGGTGCAGAAATTAACAAAGGGCGTGTTAACTTGTATAGTATAAATATGTATGTGAGCGGCCTGCCAGTTAGATAAATTGTCGCAAATAGCTACATACATATGTATATACCGTTGCACATATTTACTACATACACATGATTGTATTAATCTCTGCATAATATGTTATATACATATGACACATTTTATTATATATTTGTGTCTTGCATGTTTGTGCGATTTTGATAGGACTGAGTGCTCCATTTCAAAGAAATATTCGAACAGTTAACGATTCATTATACAGACGGTGTAGTTCATAACGTAAATAATGGAATAAATTAAGTGTTTATGGAACTAATAAGGCATACCCACAACATATTTATGTACATCGGTAGAACAGAAATTATATGTGCGGTGAAAATACTCAAATACTTGTGAAGGTCATTATTTGTAATGTATGAAATTGGTGCCATATTTATGTGTGTGAGTGTGAGTGCTACTAAAATTCCGGCGGCGCGGACAAATATCCAGACTCTTGCAATAGAACGTGTATACCAAAAATTTAGTTTGGATGTGAGTGCTCGAAAAGTGAGAAATTTTATATATGAAAATGAATTATTAAATCTGAAAATTATTAGAAAAAAATATTGAGAAATTCAAACAAATTAAAAGTTTATTTTCTTTTGATTTTGTTAGTCATTATTTAGATTATCATATTCTACTAATGATATAATAATTGTGATAGCTGATAATGACTATGATAATTAAACTGCCGACTACAATACTTCAGTTGATATCAATATCGTAATATTTATTCATTTTATTAATTGCTGGCAGCCCGGTAAAAATTGTTTTCAAAATAAATTACTTTAAAAATGGTTAATCTGAAGCTGGTATTTAATAAACATAACAAAAGTTAAATTTAATTGAATATAGGTTTTATTAAAAAACTGGCAACCTTTACAAAATTGTTTTCGACAATAAACTTTAAAGCTTCTTTAGCTTTGATACTCATATTATAACCACTGATTTGTTTTCATCAATTTCAGTGAATTATAATTTTCAAACGGGTGGCAACCCTCAAACTCTCAAATAAAAATTTAACTGTAAGTATACTAAAGCTTCCTGTAATGTTCCTTCATGCATTGATTTTTTACTAAACATTTTCAAATATTTAAGTTTCCAATTTTTAATGTCCGAATATTGCACCGAAAACATTGGAAAAAATACAGTATAGTGTTTTTACTTAGTAGCATTTCTTTATCTTATCTATTTTTCTTAAAAATATTCAGGTGGCAGAATTTTAACCGAAGAAAAACAAAAAAAAATATTTAAGCGGTTCAGCCTTTCAGATTTAACTGTCTGGTTTAAGGGATACATCTGTTCTGAAATTAAAAGCAAAAAATGCTTTTTCATTCCTACTTTGATAGGTTATAAATTGAAAATATCATACTAAAATTTTAAATCGATATATCAAATAGTTTTGAGTAACAGCCATCTAAAGTACAACCGATTAGTTCAATCAGATTCAGCAGTTTATCTTTAAAACGCGTTTTTTGTCAAAACTACATTTTTTTGAATTTCCTTGAGTGCGTAGACAAATGATTCGATTCAAAATTTTGGGTAAAATTAACTTTTTTAAAATGCCTTTTTTGATTTCCAGATCACATGTAATTCGAAAATTATTTAAGTTTTCTCTTCAAAAAATATTACTTTGTATTCTTAAAAACATATTCTTCAAATTTCTAAACAATTGATACAGTACTTTTTTGGTAATTTTTAAAATTATATGTATACGTCAGACCGTTTTAATTTCTTCTTTATCATTTTATATGTACAATTCCGTTCCTAACAATAACAACATCGCCTGGAAGTAGTGGTAAATTTAGGGCACTTCTAATAGCTGACGAACTTTTGAATACGAGTTTTGTATCAAATATACAACACTGTGCCATGAAATGACATTTTACTGAAACTAATATATTGCCATTTCAAATTTTCTAAACCGTGAAAGTATGAACGAGTCAAAGAATTCAGCCGGTTAAAAACCAAAACGCTGAAGTGTCACGGGTCTTTACAGCATTTTATTACTCATAATTCAGCGTTCGCAACAAAATTATGCTTATCATTTGTTTATAGCAAAATTTGAGTCACTGTCGTCGTGCCCTTCGTCTCATCAGCGAAGTTTATTTAAATGAATAATGTTTCGAATACTCAAGAGTAACTGTGACGCGAAAGTATTGCTTATTAATTATTGTTTTTTATGCGTCTTATATATATTATAAATAAATATTGTTGGTAAAACCGCCCAAAGCAATTTCCCGCTTGCAATTTTTTCTTTATATTATTCGCACACACAGGTTACAAACAGTAGGCACTGTATTTAGCTACTAACACGTGTTCTCTACTAAAGTTTTCAGCAAGACACATTAATGTGATAAAATTTCCTGCAATAAACTTGCTGCTGAAAGAAATCCGTGTCTTTTACAGAAGAAGCACACATATCCAAGCGTACAAATCCCCCTCCCCGCCAAACAGTAAGCACACGCATATGTTGAGTGCACATTAGAGCGCTTGTTATGAAAGTGAAATAATATTAATATTATTAACTAGCAAATTTTGTCAAAATAATATTTCATTCCTTCAATTAAAGCATGGAAGTGTTGATATTAAAACTAAAAAATTTTGAAAAACACTCAACTACGTACATCATTTAAAAAAATCGATTTTGTTTCGCATATACATATATAGTATGAACATCGAATGTACAATACATATATTTGAGAATATTCTACGAAAATTTGAAGTTGATGTGGCAATAAGCTTCGGAGATATGAGCGTATTTGTAAGAATTTTTAACTTAGTGTTATCTCAAAACTCTTAACGCACTTTTCTCGAAACGCTGTTTTCAGAGTCGATGAGGAAAATCTTCCTTACCTTCAGGCACCTTTTTCTTAGGGTTTCGTAGAAATCGGCTATGGGATCTAAAGGATCCAAAAAATTAGTCGTTGATTATTGAAGTACATTAAATTTTATAAATGTACACTTTGTTACTTATTTATTAAAAAATAATGCCTTTAAAAAAAATTTAAAAGGCGCGTTTTTTCCGCCTTGCTATTCGTATAACTAAGCCACTTTTAAATTAAATTAGCTAGCTTATAAATACGTATGTATATACCGTTATTGTAGTTTTAACTGACCTTTTATAGCGTGGTATTTTTACCTAAATTTAAATCCCAAAATTAATTTTTTATTTCAAATATTTTCTAATGTATTGAATAAATGAGTGGTTATGAGCCGGTGAGTGTGGTTATATGTCGGCTAAAGAATATACAATAAGAATAATTATTTAGAATTTACAGCAGAAATATTTAGCTTTGATAAGATACATACATGTTTGTATATGTATTTCCCCCAGTAGTAAAACATTCAGATAAATTTTCAACGATACTACTTGTAACTACAATAACATTAGGCAGACACTAGCAAATTATTGGAACCAGTTTCTACGTCTATTTTAGAAGTAGTTCTACGAACAGACAAAACTTGGTTGGACTCTCTTGTAGTCCAGTTTTCTACGACAATAACAATTGAATTGTATGTTCATTCATCAAAATTCCCTTACAAAACAGTCGAAACTGTAAGCCTTCGTATGTTTCGATAGCAGGATATCGACCGAGATAGTATCTATTTATGTATATAAAAAATTCGAACAGGTGGCAACCTCAATCCTCAAAAAGTTATACAATTGTAAGCGCCCGTGATTTCTTTCAGTTTATTACTTCTAGTGCTTCTATAATTTTATTTAAATAATTATTTTTTGAAAAATTAAATTTAATTTGAAAAATACGCTCACAAAACTATTTTCATTTGCCATGCAATTCTGTAAAAAGAACTCACACACTGAGCTTTAGATGGAGGGTGGGCTATCACCCGAGTTCACCCATTCCTTCACTGTGGAAGGGGATACCGAAAAGATTTGTCCAGTGCAAGTTTGGTTAATAGAGCTTCAGTGGTTTGTGAGATATGTACATACATACGGGCGGGCTATATTTTTTAAAAAAATACTTATTCAACACAGATGCCCTCCGTACTGCGATTGCACAACATGTTGCCAGAGTATAAAAATCGCTAAGCGATATAAAATACTTCAACCAAGATAAAATAAATTAAAACCCCAAATGTATTATAAAAAAAACTTTGCAAAAATGTACAGTAACTTAACTTAACTTACTGATAATAACATAATTTGTAAGCAATGGAAAAAATGAAAAAATAAGCAACTTTATAAGGAAAAGTGTATGAAAGAAAATAGAGCGGGATTTACGCCTTAGCATTGTTGCGCTAAAGTTTATGAAGTATTTTGAACCGGAATGACTTTTTAAAGTATATTAGTATGAGTATATATAAATATTCAACAGTGTGTATCAGGCAACAAAGGCGATCATCGTGACCGAAGGACTTGAGTTCAGAGCTTTGATATTTGTAAATTTGAGGTTTTTGCTGAGGGAAAACACTTGGCAGTGAATATAGAAGTTGAAAGTATATTTCCGAGTTGATGCAAGTAACCTCGCTTCATAAAAACTTGGTTTAAGGCTTGTAAGACTCTTCACTAAATGTCTTTTAAAAAGATAGAGACCACATATGTATATGAGAAAATGTATATATTTTTAAGCAACTCTTGGATTGCATCATATTCTCCGAATTTTTGTAGGATATCTATATACAATGTAGTATTCAAGTTCCATTATGTCTTCCCACTAAAAAATATTATCGATAATCGCTTAAAATAAGCGCTTGAGAACTCCACTAAAATGTAAAGCTTAGCTCATACTTAGTGGGGTGAAGTTCAAGGCAAAGAAAAAATTTATCGTTGAGTAAACCTAATCGTTTTCACTCAAACTTTGATAAGTTTCTAATATAACATATTTGTTTCATGGTAATTCCACTCGTATCAGTAATGTTTGGGTTTTTCTAAGCAATTATTCAAGAAGTTCTCAATACATTAATTGTACTTGTATGTAACAAAAATAATCTGAAAGCTATTCATAGATTCATTCATTCATATTTCTTACAAAACCATCTGAAAGTTGCAAATTTAGATAGCGCCCACTTACAATATGCAGATATACAATACATACATACATACATATAAAAATATATATAATTTACAATATAATCAAACAGCGTTGACTCACTTCTGAACTTGGAAAAAAGCGATTTTTTATTCTTATACCGATTTTAATAATTTTTGCTTTTTTTGTGTTATACTTTTTTCATTAACTGTTGCCACGCTTATCACTCGCATTTTAATTTGTTTATGCATCATTATCGCGTAATTACTCATTTAAAAACATTTCTGCGCTTCGTACTTAGTACTGTTATCAGTCAAAGTTTACCGGTACATAGTATAACGGTATATGTGTGTGGGTGGATTCGTTTGTGGGCTGACTAATATAATTACACGAGTTCAACCCCTACAATGAGAAATAATATTCAGATAAAAATTTACCAAAAAGTTTTTTTAAGCAAAAATAATATTAATAATGAAGTTTATATTTTACAGGTCAGACTATTTCCGACCTAACCGCAGCTCAATATATAGCGGTGCATATTGATAATTTAATAAAAAGTTCTTGAGATCTACTTACATAAGTACGTAGACGATGCGAATTTATTTTTCAACTTCGAGTTAAAGGTCGAACTCACCACAATTAAATAGGGCTACTGTCGAAAGCTATTCGTCTGTTTTTATACCGTAAACAGGGTATATTAAGTTTCCCACGGAGTTCGTAAATTATATATATATACATACATACATATGTGTGTATAAATGATCATGCCATGATGAGCTGAGTTAATTTAGTTATGTCCGTCTGTCTGTCTGTATATATACAAACTAGTCCCTCAGTTTTCAAGATGTCGATCTGAAATTTTGCATACGTCATTTTCTCTTTAAGAAACTGCTCACTTGTCGGAACAGCCGATATCGGACCACTATAGCATATAGCTGCCATATTAACTGAACGATCAGAGTAAAATGCTTGCATGGAAAACTTTTTCATTTGACGAGATATCTTTACAAAATTTGGCACGAGCGATTGTCTAAGACAATAATGCAATCTCCAAAGAAATTATTCCGATCGGATCACTATAGCGTATAACTGCCATACAAACTGAACGATCAAAATAAAGTTTTTGTAAAGAAGCTTTTCTATTTGTGAAGGGTATTACAGCTTCGGTGAAACCGAAGTTAGCGTATTTTCTTGTTCATCTAGACAATGATTTGTTTGATCAATGAATTGTATCCGTAATATCAGAAATTATCTAAATTGCTTTCTGACCAAAAGTTTATTAACCTCCCTCCAAGCCTGGAGATCTCGAAATTTACAGCGTCTTTTTACGAGCAATATCTACTCGGTCTCACGACTTAGCATATTTCACGAAGATTTACATATATATAAATATATACGGCGTGTAAAATAATATGATTTATGAAATGGTAAAGGAATTTGTTGCCGAACGACACAAAAATACTTCTTCAAAAGGTTTTGAATAATCTTACAATATTACCCCGAAATCGATGGGGAATTATTTTTGGGCTCTGCTGGGGTTTCTTTTGTCAGCCGCAAGTACTGAATTTTGATATTATATAAAAAGATACAATAGTTATACAAGAATAAAAGCTCAGGAGCTTTTGAACATCTAAGGATCATCTGGATGATATTTGGGTTCTCTTGGGGCTTTAACATGCGGTGGATAGGCTATAGGTTACAAGGAGTTAGGTGTAAGGAATTCACATATGAAACGAATGGATGGTTAAAAACTGAATGTAGCTTTCAAATATTTCAAATGTTATCCAATAATAGTGTAAGTAATCCATAACTTCTGACATGAAAACTCCTTCCCAAACTTCAATCAGCAGTTTTGAGCGACCTCAATACTAAGGATATGGATAAAAACCCAATTTCCATTGATGATATGAGCGTTCTTTCATTTAAATTCTGAGTCAATAAAAACTTTCGGCTTTCCAATATAACAATTTGCACTAAACGTTTTTTCATATCTTCCAGTGTTCCTCACCAATTTCAATTCCTCAAATCGATGAAATGTCGACGCGTATTTGCCAACTGCTCATTGTAGCCGGTATACTTTATCAAAGCTCTCTAGCTGACATACCTAATTGTGTCTTCGAAGACACTGTCGCTTTAACTGATAGTACAAAATTTGCCAATGGCTCATACTTTTATGAAGGTCTGTTGGTGCCGCCACATCTGACAGCCGAATATGACTATATTGAGCTCTTCGAAGGTGCGCGTAAACCCGTAGAGAGACATATGCGCGGTTGTGTGTGCAAGATCAAGCAATGTGTGAAGTTCTGCTGTCACCCAAGAGCGGATATGTATCAGACAAGCACGGATGCCACGCCTCAATGTGAAGAAGTACTTAATAAGGAACTCAAATATTCACCACTTCTTAATATAACGCTGCGAAACAGCAGTAGGGTCGTGATGCATCTGCTGGATGAATTTGTGGTGCAGCAGGGGATACCGTGCGAAGGCGGCTATATGCTAATGCCACATATGTACGAAGAGGATCAGTGGGAGTTATTTGAAGTATGTAAAAATAAGTTGCGACTGCGAGAACTTCCAATGAAGAATTTCTCGTTTTTTTCTTACAGAATGGTACGTTGTTGCGCATTAGTGATGCGCAATATTTTTCGAGGCGAGATTATTGCTTGCAGGCCTATAATACAAGTGAAGAGTTTGTATTGAATCCAATGAATTGTCCAACCGTTTATGAAGAGCCACCTACGCTGATGCTCAATACGATAAGTAAGTGAAAGAGATATACGCTCGCTGAGAGCGAGAGAGTTAGAACGAAAGTGCAAAAATATAATATTTTTACTTTTTAGTCATGCTGATTTCAGCACCGTTTCTTTATATTACCATCCTGATCTATTGGCTTGTACCAGAATTGTGGAACTTACATACGAAATGTCTGATATCTTATTTACATTCGTTAGCTATTGGCACGACGCTAATTGTTGTGGTCAATATGCAGAACTCAATTTACGAAACTTTGGCTTGCGCTATAATTGGTAAGTTTTCCAATACAACTGAGATGGTCTTGAACTATACATGTACATATTTTTTACGATCATATTAAGTTTGACCATATTCCGGACGGTCTTTTAAGATATTAACTCGCTTTCCCAATAATCTCTGTACATCACAGGTTTCGTGGCATACTTCTTCCTTACTGCCGTCTTCTTCTGGCTAAATGTGATCTGCTTCGATCTATGGCAAAATTTTCGTATCACCCAAGGCGCAGTTCGAAACTTAACACAGCGTAAACGATTTCTTTACTACTCACTCTATGCTTGGGGCATGCCGGCGCTGATGACAATAATAACAGCCAGTTTACAAAACTCAAAATTACCACATGGACTCAAGTCGGGCATTGGCGATACACATTGTTGGTTGAAAAGTAAGTGGTTGATATTTAGACCTAAAAGTGATATAGTATAACTTTATTTAAATGTTATACAAATTTCCAGTTGACGACTGGTCAGCGATGATCTATTTCCATGGACCCTGCTTACTGCTGATTGTCTTCAATATCGGTATATTTTTCCTAACGGCCAATAAAATCTATGAAGTACGTAAGGAGCTACGGCATTTTTCACGCGGCGACAGCAGCCAAAGACATTTGCGTTCGCAGCAAAATAAGTGAGTAGTATATTTAGCATATGACCACATTCATAATTAATGCATCTTTATCAATTAAAAGTAAAAATTAACTGAAATATTTCAGTGTATGGCTCTTCTTTCGCATGTTCATTGTAATGGGTATTGGCTGGCTTTTGGAGATAATCAGTTATATGGTTGGCAATAATAGTAAATATGCTCTGCTCTTTGCTGCCACAGATGTCTACAATGCCTCACAGGGTTTGATCATATTCGTATTGCTGGTTGTGAAGAAAAAGGTGCTAATGCTGATAAAGAAAAGGTGATGGTTTTTCTTTTTTATTAAATTTGTATTATGTTTAATGATAACGGCTCAGTCCACAAAGAAGATCAATCAAAGTTTCTTGTTTTTATGCCGTTACAACAGAAATAGTACAAAGTACCGAAATCAAAGTAATAAAATGGTGAATGCTGCACTGATTGGCAATCCTTACTTTATTGGTGTATACACCAGTTTTAGCTTTCCATAATTTTTTTTATAAAATAGGAGGAGTGATTCGATGGAAATACAGGTTTTCGAAAACAAAAAAAGACGAATGCTAATATTGAAGATCTCTCATAAAACATTTAATTTGAAAAATATTTAAAAGATATGATTCTTAATTCAAAAGCATATGGATAAATATCCGACACTATTCGCTGGTTATTGAAAAAAAAATATCATGTGAAAGCAAGGCCAAATTATATAGTTGAGTTCAACCGCTTCTATTCTATCCTTATTTTATTGTGCTAGTCTATCAGCTTTAAATCGGTGGTTTGTTCGATGCGCTACACGCAACTATTTGGCGAATTAAATATAATTTTGAAATACAAATATGCTTCATCTATTAGCTGGCATTACTATCTCTATATATTTATTTCGAAATTCTTATACTTTACGTGCTCATATATCACATACATATGTAGTTTATGGGAATAACAATTTTGTACATTTTAATTACCTAAGCTATAAATAAGTACTATTAACTACTCATCTTTTTAGATTTATTAAATCGGATAACACTTCGCAGCTTTCAACTCAAAGATTTACGAAGTCCAGCACGTCGGGCATGGAGTTATGTAAGTAGAGTGAAGACCTGAAATAAATAACATTCACAAATATTTAACATTTTTATATATTATATAATAACTATGTTTGACCTAATTCGGTCTCTTTTAAGACGGTTTTGATTTAATACGGTTTGAAAATAACTTTAGCTTTTTACACGATTTTACAACGATTTTTTGGACTTGAATTTTATGTCAGATTTAATTTTTGCGAAATATGTTCATATCGCAAATTTAGAGGAATACCCTTTTTGTAGATACAAGCAAGTTTACTGGTCAGAGCAATAGTAAAAAGCACAAGTTTAGTGGAAATATGAATGTCTTTTTTTACAATTATTAAACGGGTTTTTCTGAAACCAATCTACCGTGTAAAAACAGAACTAGGTGTACTGTATTTTTCAAAAAAAAAAGTTGAATTGAGTTTTTGTAGAATGTGTGAATGATTTCTAACCTTAAATCTTCTACTAGATGATTTTTGAAACGGTTTTTAAAAAAGCGGTATAAATTGTCCATTTTAGTGCGAGTTGCAGGGTTAACATGTTCCGTACAAATATTTTTTGACAAATTTAGCATGGTTTCCTGTGAACAAGGTAGTGGTTCAAATTTAAATTTCTAAAACAGTTTCCTAATGGTTTTTCTTTTTCATGTTTTAGGAAGCATTAGGTATTACAATGTTAATTTTAAATATAGAGATTAAATCAGAACCACATAATATATTTTTTGACTTTTGTTTTTCTAACCCCAAAATGAGGCATATATCTCTATTTATTTTAAAATCACTTTTTATTTGTTTTCTTATAGCCAATGCTGAAAGTCGATGGAAACTTCGAACCTGAAAACCAAACCAATCATTAAGAATCGACAGCGTACTTGCAAAACCATTCGAATATAAATAACGGTTACCGTGGGTATTAATATTTTATAGTAAAGATGAGACACAGGTTTGTCGAAGCCCAAGAGCACCCCAGCAATCGTGTGTTCACCAAAACAACTTACCAAAGAACAGTTAATATTTTTAAGTATTTTTTACCAAAAGCCAGTATATATGACAAGAAGTGATTAAATGGTGTTGCCACTATAACACAATTATACAATTTTTATTATATTCAAAGAAACTGATAAAATATTAATATCGGTTCAACAGTTTATACATTTTTTTATAATTTTATTTAAAAGTACAAAATACACTCATACACAATAGTTGTCTTCGATTCGCCAAATCTTGGAAAGTAACGAATCGAAGAAATATCTAATCATATACGGCATGAACAAAGATATCACTCTAATTAGGTGTCCTCATACATTTCTATATATAAGGATATCTTTGTTGTTGCTTTCAAATGTAAATTTTTGAGCGGGAATACCTAGTTCAAATATAGAGAGTATAGACGTCGCGAAAAAAACACGGTTTTCACCATTTAAATATGGGTATATATATTTTTATTTCAGTATATACTAAAACATTTAAGTTTTTTTTTTATAAAATATACCTCAAATAATTATTAATAGATATTAGGTATTATTAATACATTTTATACAAAACTGTATCTTTTCAATCTAAAAATATTATTATTAATATAAAATTAAAATGAAATAAAATTAAAAATATAAAAAAAAAATGTTATTTAAAAATATTTAATTTTACTTAAGCGCATTTATTCACCTCTGGTACAACCCTCTCCAATATGTGTGGCAGCTGACAATGATTCTTCTTCCCTATCAGATTTCCGCCTCCAAAACGAAAACTAATCAAACGTTGTTTTATTTAGTTATGTTTTTAGACTGCATAAATAAATATTTGCTATCGGATTAATAAATAATCGCTATTTTTCTGTCTGCCTCAGATATAATTTACTTGCAATCAGTATAATAATTTTCCCCAATAAATCTGAGATGTTCGAAAATTTTAAATTTTTTTTCTAATTTGGAAGGGCTATCTCCTCATGAGAATATTATATAAAGTACACTTGGACTATTATTTCCAGTTCCCAATTCATCCATTTTTATACTGTTGCAACATTTTGCTACAGAGTATAACAGTTTTGTTAACCTAACAGTTGTATATATCACCTACAACTAATCGAAATAGATATAGGGCTATGTATGCATATATAGTAGAAATGATCAGGATGCTGAGACGACTTGAGTAATATTTAAGATATCTTGATAAAACTTAGTACAGACATTCCTTGCCACCCAAGGGTGGTTGGTATTGCAAATGAGCGGAATCGGACACCTGTGGGTTAAAATTTTGTTTAAAGTAGGCGTGGCTCCGCCCCTAAATGGTTTAATGTTAATATCTTCCAAATTGTCCTATAACTCGAAAACGCACTATAATTTGTGCCAGATATGGGTAAAATCAGGTCAACACTTTCTTTAGCGCCCATATGCCTATGATACCCATATATTTTCGAACCTACAGCTAATTTTATACTGCATCTATGGGTCAAAATGTAAGAAATCCCAATGAATTTTAGAAAGAATATTTTTCTAATAACAGTGTATCCTCTTTCCTTACATGAATGAAATCACGGCGATACTTTCCTTAGTTTGATATAAAGTTTTGCCAAAACCTTAAGGTGCTTCTCCGCCTTTGATCCTTGCAAGTTGCAAGAGTATGAAATGTTCGATTACACCCGAACTTAGACCTTCCTTACTTGTTTTTAGACTCTTGCAATATTTTGCTAAAGAGTATAATAGTTTTGTTCCTAACGATTGTTTGTATCACTTACAACGAAAAGAGATATACATAGGGTTATATACATATATACATTAAATGAAAAGGTTGACGAGACGAGTTGAATACCGGCTTACGGTCTACACTACGGACATACAGGCAGTCCATCCGTGCAAGCTGGAACTTAAGTAAAACTTAAAATATATTGTAAAACTTCGTATACATTTTCATCATTTTTGATCTGTCAGATTGTATGGCAACTATGTATATGCCAAGTAGTTCGAGCTGAACAATTTAGTAAGGGTTATTGACCTTAAGCGTAAACAAAGGTTGTTGGCTTTGCTAAATCAATCAAGATAGTTTTATGCTGTTATATAAGAAATACCATTGTGAAGGATATTAGAGCTTCGGTGTAGCTGAAGTCAACGCTTTTTCGATGCATTCAGACTAAAATCGGTTAAAAAAGTCTTTAAGAGGTTGAAAGTGAAGTTGTAAGGAATAATGTGAGCAATAGAATTAATAGAGAGTGACAGTATTTACTATAAAAAAAAATATGATGTGAAATTTGATTAAAATGGTTTCAGAAGTATGTGAGATATGAACATACATTCCTAACATTCTTTAATAGTTTTAAAATATACCGTTACACCGGAAGTTATTGAGGCTATTTAGAGAAAATACATTTATGACATTTATATGGCTCAACGGGTTAAAAGAAATTTTACGACACACTCATGAGTGTGATTACAACGGCCAGTTATTCAGAAACTTTGTTATCAAGAACCACTGCCAGCGATTTATGTACAGCAAAACCTATCTTCGAAAAATATATGTAAAGGATTTTAGTGTATGAAGATTAAAATGGCGCTTTTTCTTACATATTTATGTATTGTATAAATATAAGTATATATATGTACATACATATATTTGTAAATACGCATCTCTTCACTACATTCATCTCTCTACCACATCCATCTCTCCACACAAATTTGTGGTTAGATGTGTTTCTTCAAGCTGATTTAATAACATAAGGGAAATATTTTGTCAGTTCTGAAGGGAACTCGCGATCGGTTAGTGTCCAATGCGGATCCGTTGTGAAGTGATTAGGTTTCATTGCAAAAATTTGTCTGTATTTTACGGAAGATTTTTAAAAATATTTGAGTAAGTTTTAATCCGCCTTAGACTGAGTTGAATGCATATTTGTTGTGGATTTTTGAAAAGTGTCTTTAAAGATTATTTTATATTAATAGAAAAGTTTTCGCCATATTAACTTAAATCGACATTTATTTTGATTTATTTTTTTATAATTATACCATTTTATCAAATTTGACTCGGGCTGGTGTTTTTTGTTTCTTTGGACGAACTTTTTTTTATGTTCTTGAGAAGACCGATCTCTATATGTCAATTAATGTGTGTTTGGCCGCTGTGTTTTTTTGTTTTTTTTTTTTTGACGGTACTGAAGGCCTTCCTAGCCAGGGCTTGTATTGGTTACAAAAAACAGATGATTTGTAGAACTGATAAGTCAGCCATAACATGAATTATTTAATAGTTCATTTATTTAAAAAATTTAATTTAAGTTAGTTTTAACTCTTTTAATACATGTATATTTACATATGTAAAAAACATACATTTATAATATTGAGTTAAGTTAAATGAAAACCACACACAACCATAAGATATACAATATACTTTTTGCGGCTGCTGAAACCTTCTGCAACAAAGAGTCCCTCAAAAATATCTACTGGCAGCTGAGTAGGTAGTTCGCCATAATTAACTGATAAAAAATTGCGTTAATCAGCTGCTCCCTGTTGAGTACTAAATATGAGTATACGTTTGTCCATCGCATAAATTAAAAAAAAAAAAGAAATAATATGATTTTATGTGGCTAATGAAATTTATTAAATTTAATATAAAATTTTCTTAGGTTTTATTTGAGCACAATGACCACCTCTCCATTGACTTCAAGCAATGTGTTTTATATTTTGCTCTCAATTGTACATATACACTTTACTATCGCCGAAATACCGCACTGCCCTTTCGAGGATACTGTTAACATAACGGGTAGTCAGATTTTACCAAACGGTTCTTACAACAATGAAGGTTTAGCGGTGCCGCCACATTTAACTGGGTATTACGAGTACATAGAGCTCTTCGGAGGTAAGCGTGATGTCGTGGCGAAGCACTTGCGCGGTTGCGTGTGTCAACTCAAGCGATGTGTCAAATTCTGCTGTCATCCCAGAGCCGATATTTATCGTTCAACGGAAAACTTGCGGGTAGAATGTGATGATCAATTGAATGAAGAGCTTACATATTCACCATATTTGAATATAACATTGAATAACGGTAATCGGATTCCAATGCATGTCGTCAATGAGTTTATGGTACAACAGGGGCTACCGTGTGACCTGGGATATATGTTAATGCCGCATTTGCGCGAAGAACATCAATGGGAATTATTTGAGGTAAGAAGTAGAACTCTATTTGTGAAGAAATGCTTGGACGAAATTATGTAAAGAGATATTTTCATGAAGAAGCAGTCGATTTTAAATTAGCATAAAGAAGGTTGAGTGTATTTGGACTTAAGGAGCTCCAAGTGAGTCGAGAATTCGAGTTAAAAACACTTCTTTACTAATCTTTTGTCAACCTAGATCAAATCACCCGAAAAAGTGGCTTCGTGAAGTAAAAGTATAGTTCGAGCGCTCCATTCATCGCCTAACAAAAAGTGGAGTAGAATTACCTGAAACTGTAAGAACTAGTGTCTTCGTGACCCTGAAAGATTTTCATGCCATAATATCAAAGTTTAGAATTATAATTTCTAAAACTATAGTATGGTGACTAAAAGAATATAGTTATAATTTCTACATTTTCAGCAAATTGCAGAACATTCTCACTAGAAATATCTAATAAGAACTCTTTTTAGAAACTTTGAAACCTCGTGCGCCTCCTGTTGGTTGTTATTGTTTCTAAATTGTTGTTGACCCTGTTAGCATAAAATTAATGAAAAAATAACAATCTTTGTCTCGATGTTTTACATAGATGTTGTAAGCGTATAAGCTATGCTTCGGGAAAAAGCATAGACTATCTCTGGAATTTCAGCCACTTGCATACATAGTAGCGAGCTCTCAGCTCATCTAGAGCTCCTTTGTTATGAATATTTTATACATTAAAAATAGACGCTTGCCAATTGAAAACTCCTTTATAATTTCTTATTATATTATTTTTCCATTAAAAGTTACATTTTGCTTACAGAATGGCTCACTACTACGTGTTGGGGACCGGTTGCTCATTTCGAGACGAGATTATTGCCTGACTGCATATCCTGTGGGCAATCGATTTGTAATTAATCCAATGAACTGTGATGCCGGACAGAAAAGTTCCGCAAACATAATGCTCAATACAATAAGTAAGAGAAAAGACAAGGGGAAGGAAAAGAGTGATAGTTCCAAGGAGAAATATGACTTTAAATAATTTTCTTAATACTGCCTACTTGTCAACGCTGCTTAATGACTTAAATTTTTTTTTTTCAGTAATGTTGATTTCCCTGCCTTTTCTTTATGCTACCATTTTAATTTTTTGGCTGATTCCCGGATTGCGAAACTTACATACGAAATGCCTACTTTCTTATCTATTTTCGTTAGCTATTGGCAACACCATGATTATAGCCATTAATTTAAGAAAATCAGATTACGATAAGGCCGTCTGTGCTGCCATGGGTGAGTCTGTTTCTTTTTTATTCGACGATTTTTAGAATGGTATCCCGATCGTTGCAGTTTTTGGTGAACTCGGGTTAATGGTTGTTTCAGGTTCTTGAACCGTAGGCATAAATTATTGTCAAGTAAAATAGTTTACACCTCGATACAATGTTGAGCTTTAGAATCTTCCGCAGCTATTTGGAGATGAGAAATTCTTCCAATTGTTTTCCACATTATGATACTCTTCACTCGGATAAACCTTCAAAAAGTGTGAACAGCAAAATTATTTACACTCTCTATAATTATTTACTACTCTATATCTTGATTAACCGATCCGCAAATCTTTTATAGCTAGTTACCGAGCAAATCTGAGATCTATTTGACATAATCCAGAAGAATTCCGCTAAAGCAGTTGCGTCTAAAAGTGAAAAAAGAGCAGGATAACTAAAAATATGTAGTGAAATGAACTCAAGGAAATACAAAATTAATGTTCAAATCTCCTTGCTGCTCTCGGTTCAGGCTTAACTACATGCTTGCATTGCCCCACCAATGATCTTAGATTGATTATTCTTTTCATATTACCAGGATTCATCACTTACTACTTCCTCTCGGCTGTCTTTTTCTGGCTTAATGTAATCTGTTTCGATATGTATCAAAATTTTCACGGCACCAAAGGGAACATTCAGCACCTGACTCAACGAAAACAGATTATCTATTACTCAATCTACGCTTGGGGTATGCCGGCTATGATGACCGCTATAACGGTTACTTTACAGTACTCCGATTTACCAGACGTCTTGAAGTCGGGCATTGGCGTTACACATTGCTGGTTGAAAAGTAAGTTGAAGCCATAATCTATAGAGACGAGTATAGCTACGATCCCTTATGGGTAATCAAGTTCTAATATTCTGCAGGTAACGATTGGTCGGCAATGATGTATTTCCATGGACCTTGTCTCCTACTTATCGCCATCAATATTGTTATCTTCTATGTCACTGTAAAGAAGATGTATTCTATTCGCAAGGAATTAGACGTGTTAACTCAGCTCGAGGATGGAATGAGTCGCTTGCGTTTACAACAAAATAAGTTCGTCTTTTACGGTTTATTGTTATCAATATTTACTTCAAATTTTCTCATATTTCATCACTTTTAGTGTTTGGCTATTCTTTCGCATGTTCATTATAATGGGTATTAGTTGGCTGTTGGAGATAATCGCTTATATGAGTGATAACAAGAGTAATTATGCCATTATATTCAAAGTAACGAATATCTATAATAGTTTTCAAGGAGTAATCATATTTGTGTTATTGGTTATGAAGAAGAAAGTGCTGCTGCTCATAAAGAATGGTAATTCAATTACTAAATTACCTTTGAATTTTGTCATATACTGTGATAGGGTTGCTTTGCACGTAGAAAATTTACTTAATCTTTATTTGTTTATATTTTGCAGTTGTTATGGAAATCGCTTGGAAAGCGCGAAACTAAGAAATGATTGAGGATACGGGTCCAATAATACAATACTCATATAATACTTATGTACATATGTATATACACATAGATTAATTCTAAAAGAATATTTTTTTATAAAAGTTTTGTTTTCAATTGAACCCAATCGTCAAAGTAGCTTGAGGCATTCACGTCACGGTGATGCTTTCCTTTGCATAATCTTTGTACCATGAGTAGGGTATATTAAGTTTGCCACGAAGTTCGCAACATCCAGAAGGAGACGTCAGAGACCCTATATATATATATGTATGTATGTATATAAGTGAACAGCGTGACGTATGTCTGTACATACGCGAACTGAAGACGATTTTTGAGATATCGTTTTGAAATTTTGCAAACGTCCTTTCCTTCACAAGAATCTGCTCATTTGTCGCAAACGCTGATATCGGACTACTATAGATTATAACTTGTTGGGTGGCTAACTTTTATATTTGATAAGATATCATCAAGAAGTTTATCTCGGATTCCTTTTCTAGGCATCTGTACAAACTCCGAACAAATTTTTCAGATCGGACCACTATAGCTTATATCTATCATACAAACTGATCGATCAATATCAAGTGCCTTTTATTTGTGAGAAAGCTCATTAATCATACGATTATAATTGTATTAATCAAAAAAAGAAAGCTCATGTATACATATATATGTGTATTGTCATTATTGTAGTAAAGTTTTAGACAGTGATTTAAAGTGAAATATACTGATATCTGAGACCATTGACTATAATTAAGGAACTGATTTTGACGAAATTTTCAAACTGCTTTTATAAGTATATATAATATGAACAAATGGACTGCATATTAGCGCAAAATATTTCTACTTCGAAATTCATAAGAACTCACAGCGTCTAATTTATCGAATTCCCTAGTACAACATACAACTGAAGCTTGATGAGTCATGTCAGCGTGTCATGAGATGTGTCAGCGTCAACTCCTTTAAAATGCATCTCTTTTGTAGGCACAGATGTCTTAAATTACTACCAAGATAACTCTATTAACAATAGCTATTGTCAACGTCAAAAGAAAGTATACACCTTTTTCTTATTTAATTCACTCTTTTTTTAGTATAAACATTTTAAATTTTTTCAAATCAATTATCGTTTACAAATGATTAAATATTGATCTTAAAAACAATAACAGCTATCCAAAAAACTTCTACAACAACAAAACCAAATATACTCAGTATTTCAAGCATCAAAACAAAGTGTATAGTTTAGGAAAAATTTAAAAATTCCAAAGCTATTATTTTGTTTGTCTTCCATTTGCACGGATAACTGCTTCCATCCTCCTTTGCATTAATTCCACTAAGTTGGACACTACTTACGGGGAAATTTTGAACCACTCCTATTGTAAAATGTCCTTCTGAGAATTCTTATTGCTTATACTCCTTTTCTTTATTTGCCGGTCCAAATGCTTTCACAGGTGCAGTTGTTTAGGTGTACGATAAAGCAAACATTCATTTACTACTCTTGCCGTATGCTTAGAATTGTTATCCTGTTGGAAGATCAAAGTTTGATCTAAGCCCTTTTGGTTCGGAAATGTGTGGTTGTTTCCTCGGTATCACGCCGTAAAGACGTTTAGCATGCAATTCTCGTCTGATCGTGCTGGCACTACTGTTCAGTCCGGATGTACTGGACACTTCTTCAGACATTTTGATGGCATTGACTGTTTCATCTACAAGATCACCGTAAATATTCTTAAAACACTCTTTTCGGCTGGGAAGTTTAATGGAGAACTGATCCTGTTGCAGCAGACCAGTTTTCAGAAGGCTACATTTTCCCATTGGTTTAACTTTTACCATGTCAATAAATAAGTCTCAAAACCAAAATATCAATTTTGATACTAATATTTATATGAAGTATTTCCAAAATTAAAACTGAAGTACATACAATCCCTCGAATTCTATACCGACAATAACGTTTTCGCCTTTATGCGTAAATAATGTATTGAATGATTGATTATAATAGTATTTAATGTATTAAATAATCTCAGCTACTAGTCTCTCTACTAATATTTAGATATGTACTATAATTAAAAGTAATAATATTTAAATATATACTATAATTAAAAGTTTGGACTTAGGTTTCTAGCATGAACTCTGTACATAGCATTTTAGGGTCATATGTTCGCCATGCCGCAGTTCAAACTTCTTTGTAGACCGTCAGAAAACACATTTTTCAGAATTAAACATTTTTAAAGCGTTAAATTGGAATTTTTCAAAATTTTTCGTTTTATTGAGGATTCGTCATATATTTTAACGGACTAAATTGAATAAAGTAAATTAATACATTAAAAAATTATGAATTTTGTATAAAAATTTATTATAGAGTTGAAATCAAAAAGTATTTGAAACTCTTTATCTTAGCTAAGAAATGTGTTCAATAATATTTCATAAAATTTATTATATTATATAATTAACTAATAATTGAAATTAATTATGTATAATTGAAGCAATAAAACTTTTATATAAAATTATTCAAGAAAATACCTATATGGTACATAAATAAATGTAAATTTTTCGAATTTTTGGAGCTTGTAAACAAAGGAGTATTTTCAGTTTAATATAGTACTCATGTGATTCAATAGCCTCAATCGGAGTTCTTAAAAATTTGTGCGGATTAAAAGTTATTATTGCTGATAAATGTTTGTATGTGGTTAGCATATTACAAGTATTACTCAAAAGTTGTGGAAGAAACTGTGCGCTGAATGAAAAATAAAACTTAATTGTCATGTTGAAATGACTGGAGAACAACTTTTTGACTGAAACTGACTGAAAACAAAACTTAAAAAAAAAATTTATATACATTTATTATAAAAGTATAATTGTAAAAGGTTTACCAACAAGAACGACATGATTTTAAATTCAAATAAAACATTTAAATTTGCTCAACTTTGTTGTTATATAGATAGGGTTATGCCATTTATGATTTGAAAAAAATGTCGGCCAAATGGCCAGTTCGTTCGGTTTGAATAGCTCCACCATTTACGCAAATTTTCAATGATCCAGTGCAGCATTTCGGCTAAAGTACGCTGAATGTTGTCTTCGAGTTCCTCGAGCGTTGCTGGTTGATTTGCGTAAACCTTTGATTTAACATACCGCCAGAGAAAATAATTTAGAGGCGTTAAATCGCATGGTCTTGGCGGCCATTTCTCGAAATTAACGAGTCAAACGGTCAGTTTTTATATTCTTGCAACATGTTGCTACAGAGTATAATAGTTTTGTTCACCTAACGGTTGTTTGTATCACCTCAAACTAATCGAGTTAGATATAGAGTTATATATATATAAATGATCAGGATGAAGAGACGAGTTGAAATCTGGGTGACTGTCTGTCTATCCGTCCGTCCGTCCGTGAAAGCTGTAACTTGAGTAAAAATTGAAATATCTTAATGAAACTTGGTACACATATTTTTTGGTACCGTAAGACGGTTGGTAATGCAGATGGGCGTAATTGGACCACTGACACGCCCACAAAACGCCATTAATCAAAAACAATAAGGTACAAAACTGTTATTTGGTACACAGGATCACATTAAGGAGGAGTAAACACTTTTTAAAGTGGGCGTAGTCCCGCCCCTAATATGTTTAATGTGCATATATCCTAAAATCTAAAGCTATAATAACAAAATTCACTGGAAGCAAATAGTTTTAGCACCTCTACCTACAGTGTGAAAATGGGTGAAATCGGGTGACACCATTTATTCTTTTCATATTTCTGTGTTATAGTGTGAAAATGGCTGAAATCGGACTACAACCACGCCTATTTCTCATATAACACCATTTTAAATTCCGTTTGATTCTTTCACTTTCCAGTATGAAAATCAAGCAACAATGATTGTATCGGAGTAAAACTTTGCGTGAATAATGCGTTTAAAGTATGTCACCTTGTGATCAAAAATTATCTAAATTGAACCAAAACTGTTCAAGCACCTAAGTACTGAATATATGGACCCCAGTGCCTATAGTTGACTTTTTACCGAAAATATCGGTCAACATAGAACAAGACGGCAAGATTCACAAAGAAATCTAAAACGAGTATTAGACTTTGCGAGATTTTAAAATGTTCGGTTACATTCGAACTTTGCCCTTCCTTACTTGTTGTAGATGCAATTATGTTTCCTGAATCACACGAGGATTTGACTCACCCTACTAGCAACAATTCATTTGTTGACGAAGTTATTAAGCTAGAAATGGGCCTTATCTGAGGTTATGATTTTTCGCTTATCACCGGATAACGTGAGTTTACATAATAATTTTTTGTGATTTCCAAAAATTGTACCAAAGTGAAACGTGAAATGATGAAATGGCAAACTTTACTAAATACATTGAAAAAATTTGACACAAATCCGTAAACAAACATGTCCGCCACGAGCTGTCAAAATCAAGTCATCCCCATTGGTAGACGCGTTACATTAATTGAACTAAGGAAATTAAATGCGCTATTTTCCTGACGGTAATGTGATCTTATATTGTAATTGGATAAAATCGGTTCACCACTATCCCTACCCTAATATATCTAAGATAATTATACCGTAAGTATGTAACGATCAATATGTAAGAGACGTAGCTACATAGCTATTTTGGACATAATGTTAGAGACGCAGCTACATAGATATTTTGGACATAATGACGAAATCTGTCTATATGTTTCCCTAGCCCTCCATATATGTATCTATGTATGTGCCAATACACTAAAACTTATGATTATAATACGTGTGTGGTATAATAATCATGCAGCTGTAAGACTTTTAAATTTATGAGCTTAGTCATTAATATTGTTACGAAGCTATAAAGACGTTGACTCATCAAATAGTTGCTCAATACATTTTTCAAGGCCGATATTTTGAAAGATTTATAAAGTTTTGAGTAACACATATTCCAGGTAATATTAAATTGATTCTTATTATACCCTTAGTCACGCATTCCTACGTCTCTTCTTTCGCTAACAACTTGATATGATAAGATGAACTTATTACTTTTCTGGTACGTGCCTTTTCAACTGAGCAAAATGGTATCCTCATACATCTGATGCTATTTTAGAGTTCTCAGAGAATGTAATAGTGAATTTAGAGAAGTGCTCTCGT